TTGCATGTCCTCTTCTCTGACATCATAAACGCGGACTCTTCTTGTATCCTATGTGATGGTATCTGAGTAGTTGTAAGTGGGAGAAACATTTGTCTTCTAGCATCTTTAAAGTTTTGGAAACAAAATCATGTGTGACACCATCACTCTCTTTGATTCACTCGGTTGCAACAACCAAGAAAATACACAAGAGATTGTTCACCCGGGTTTTACCGTCTTCCAATGTGTAACAAATCTATACTTACAGAGATTGAGATATACCGCAAGCAACAAGTAGTACTGGCTTTGAACAAGTGTTGCACTTCGTACCTTTATTTTTCACCAACTTTCTTACAGAAATAAATGTCATAATTTGTTAAAATTACATGTATAATACAATTATACAGATTTGATATGAAAGTGAAAATTAAGATCCTAGTTTACATATTTGATATGAGTATGAAATTTTTTAAAATTAGCACAATGCCTAACTATTGTTTCGGCCACGCCTGCCAGCAAGTGCATTAAGAACCTTAGTTTAACTTGAACTCTTCACCTAATCTTATTCCTCGCTTTCTTGAATTTCTCACTCATTATATTTGCACTTGAAAACGACTTATTACACTCATAATTGTACCCGTTTTTATTCCGAGTTACATCTCAATCAACTGAACCGGCTTCCTATTCCTCTTGGTTACATCAACCTATCACACACATCTGATGAAGAACACATCCTTCAATTCTCCACCTTGTTTCATGTTGTCCTTAACCTTCTTCGCTTTTTTAACATAACCATCAAAACTTGAAAACTTTTTTAAAGTGGTAAAGAATAATAAATTATGTTTTACGAAACATAATCATTAGTTTCATATATTGGGGACATTGTAATGAATATAAGAGCATGATTAATGGAGAATTCTTATGGTTGGAGTTCTTAACGGAATTAAAAAATCGTTTTATTTAAGAACCGGTTCTTAATTTTTTAGTTAAGAAACGGTTTTTTAGTTCCGTTAAAAACTCCGCCCTTAGAGCATCAACATTGCTCGTCCTTGCTGCGTCCTTGGGTGAGGGGGGACCCCAAATTACCAAAACCAAAGAAGGACAAGGGGAGAAAATCGTTAGATAAAGAACATTTTTGCTGCGTCCTCTACTCTGTTTGCGGGACTCACGACACGTGGTAACCCGCCATTAGTTCACATGTTTTTTTAAACAGAAAAAAACAAAAGATTTTAAAGACTAACTTTTGTCCCACCAATACTATTGCTCTTAAAAATCTCCATTAGTCATGTTCTTAGCTCCCGTCTCAATATGTGAATAGCTTAACTTAACTAAACACAAAAAGGTAAAAGAAAAGAATATTAGATTTCTAGTAGATAAAGCTTCTGTCACGCAAGCAGTATCAATCACAGTTCACAACGGCTAATCAACCTTCACAAATATTGAAGCAAAGTGATCAATTAAATACATAAGAACCCCCAATGTTACCAGATTACAAAATAAGACTTGGATTAAAACCGGTTATGTTGTGTACACTCATAATCTCATCTCTATCATTTCAAAATGAGACGTCGATAAATTATACTATTCAATAAAACAAAATGATAAATCACTAGAGAAAAACAAAAGCATTTCAACTAAGATTGATATCGGATAACACAAATAGTTCAACTGTTTCCTTCAATCTCCATCATCATCATGATGAATCTCTTTAATGATGAAGATGATGATGATGTCCGAATATCCATTTCCACCCTTTGAAACTCGTCCTTCGACTCTTACTCACCTCTCGATCCTTCTTCGTTAACCGGCAAGACCCTCCTCCTCCACGCTCCAAAACGCTGTCGTTTACCACTACTTCCCCTCCTCCTCCAGAGGACTCGAACTTGAGATCTATAAACCCTGGCTCCTCTCCTCCGGTAAAGTAACTCTCTTTCATCGACAAAACCCTCCTCGTGAAACTCATCGCCGACGAATCACTCTTCCTCGGCGCCGCTTCGTAATTGCTCCTACGTGGTATACTCTGTTTATACTCTGTTTCGCTGAAGTTACTCTTCCTCGGATACTCTGTTTCACTGAAGTTACTCTTCCTCGCCTCGAAACAGCTCCTCCTCGGCGGCTCCGACTCACTGAAATTACTCCGCCGGTGCTCCGTCGTCTCGCTGAAGTTACTCTTCCTCCCTTCGAAGTTACTCTTCTCGCTGAAATTGCTTTTCCTCCCTTCGAAGTTACTCCTCCGATGCTCTGTTTCGAGAACCCCTAACCCGCCGTTGACGCTGGAGCTTCTCGCGGCGGAGAACGAGCTCCTCGCGCCGGAGTAAGACGACACGTCTTCTTCCGACCCGATAAAGTACCCGTTCCCTCCTCGGAAGCTACAGAGCGATCTCGATCTCGAAACACTCTGTTTCAAAACCCAAGAATCGTTCTCGTTCTCGTTGTCATCGAAAGCTCTCTCCTTTCTCGGGTTAATCTTCCTGAAGAACCTCCCGAGTCTCGAGAATTTGTGATGCTTCGTCTTCTTAATCTCAACGCAACTGCTACTACTCCTCTTGAACACCACAACTTCTTCCTCTGTTTTTCTCGTCGGTTTCCTCTGTTTCGCCGACTCTGTATCGATGAGAGAGAAGATCTTTACGTTCACGGCGTCTACGGCGGCGTTTGAGGCTCGGTCAGGAGAGATATCTGAGCAAGAGCAAGAAGAGAGTCTCTGTTCGCCGCATTCGGAACATACGAGGTTAACTAAACGGTCGTTGAGACAGTACTGACAGATTCCGACAACGTAAACTGAAGGATGTTTTCGACAAGAGAACTCGGGAAAGGAAACGTCGTCGTTTCTTCTCTCCATTGCTGTTCTCTTTCCTCTGTCTTTCATTTAAGGCAAGATATATAGAAACAGAAGATAAAAGCAAAAGAGATAAAACAAAAGGTGAAGATCCAGAGAGAAGTGAAGATGACGATGATCGGATCTTTAGATTAGGGTTTCTTTTAACTTTTTCTTTTTGTGGGTTTTCTCGGATTTTGATGAGAGACTGAGAGAGGGTTTGAAAGTGTAGTGAGGTTAGCTATAGGCTTGTTTGCTTTAGCTTTACGTTTTCTATTTATTTTGGCTTGTCTTTTGATTTTTCTTCCTCTTTTTAAATGTCCCACTAAATGAAATTTCATTTTAAATGAATGGTTTATATTGATATTTATCTCAATTATTTCCATGATTAATGATATCATATCCTCAAATTTGGGCAAAGTTTACGGGTTGTTAAAAACAAACATTTATTTTGATCACTCTGGTTATTAATTACCATGGGGATTATAAATTACTAACTAGACGTAATTAGGGAATTTTCGTAGAGTAGAGGAGATTGTTAGGAACGAATAATATATAGCTAAAAAGTTAGGGAAAGAAAAGGAAAAAGATAAAGGGTATGATCAAGAAAGCACCTTAGGGTTGTTTTTCACTTTCGTTTTTTGAATTTGGTAAAGCCGAGGAACATTTTAAATACAAACTGAATTTTAAGTTTATGACATAGTATTGATTTATGTTACTAAAGTTTTCATGTTCACAAAAAGAAATATTCTACCTGTTTGGTATCTATTTTATCTTATCGAATGCATTGTGGCGGCAAGACATCAATAGCAAGCCCGAGAGAACATCACTTCTTAATTTTTTAGAGAGACCATGTCTTCACGAGTACACCAATAGACCAAACACTATTTGATTACTTGGAACCATTTGATTATGACAAAGATGTTTCCATTAATAAGTCGGTTCCAGACATTTTGTATGGCTGATTTATATATACTAACATGCACATGACTTAAACCACCCAAACGTATTACATAAAAACAAAAACATTATTGCCCAAATAAACAGAACAATCCAAAAGATTATAAGAGGAAAATATAGAAAAGCCAAAAAAGAAAGATGGAATGATGAAAGACACAAGACGAAAACATTGAGTGCAAGAGGTTAATACGTTATACGTGGATATGAATATGAACTCTTGCGTCTCCCGTTTGTTCTTTAAGTACTATATCAGTTATCGTGTATAGGTGTAGATAATTAGCTCGATCTATGTAATGAAACATGCATTTAGATTACAGTTAACTAACCAATATTAAGTTAAAACAGAAAATGAAAACATTAGAAAGATATCACCTAACCAAACTAAATTAGGTTTGAGTAATAGATAGGAACGGACTAGTTTCGTCGAATCTAATTTGATTTGTATATGTTTTTCTTTTGATATATAATTTGATATATATATATATACATATATAATGATTAAACGTGTGCATGCTTTGCCCTTTTCAGTTTGACATTTAAATGTTTTTTAATGTTAACATTTTTTTCCTAACATTATTTATACTTTTTACTAGGTGATTTTCCCGTGCTCATGCACGGACATAAATATTTATAAAATAAATATATTATAATAATAGATTGATATTTACTTTAAATTTTAAATTAATTTATAATTTGTAGGTATAATTTATATTAATAACATTATATTAATATAATTATATATATATATAATTTTAGATATGTTATATTTCGTCAGTTTTATTGTTTTTACGGTTGATTTAGTTATCTTTTGAATATATTAGATTCTATTTATTTCTCTGAATTCAATTATAATCTTTTTTATTCTAAATATATTAAATTTTTGATTAATTCTCTTATTTGCATTTATGCCGGTTGTTATCTTAGAAATATAAGTATATCTAGTAAGATTATGTATAACTTAAGATTTTTGGTGCTTAAGAAAAACTAAAAATTAAACTGTATGATTCCAAATTACATACATAATTAACTAATAAATTTTTGAAAGCTTATGAACACATATCAGTATTTACAATATTTAGATTGATTGGATGGTAAACTGAAATTTAATTTAAATAATTTTAAAATAAGGATTCTGATTTGCTTAAGTATTTTGATTATGGTTATATTAACTTCCACAAACGTAAAAACAGAAAATTAAAAGCCAAAAGAGTTATTAAGAAAATAAATAATTTTAAATATTAAAATAAAATAGATCTACTTCATTTTTTTGGTTAAATTATATACTGTTATGATATTTTAAAATAATTTTTATTTCATCAAAAAATGTTTATTATTAAAGTTTATTTTTTAGTTTTGTTTTAAATATCTCTTAAAATATGCAATAAAAATGTTATTGTTTTTGAGAAATTATATTATATAAGTAAAATAGAATGTATATTTTTGCTGTAATTCTAAGATATTATAGTTAAATAAATATACTAAAGATAAAAAATATATTTCAAGAATACTAATTATAAAAACAAGTTTTCAGTTAAACCTATATCAGTTTATGTTACTTAATTATTGTATGTAATTATCTAATAAAATAGATAGATATATATAAAAAATAATTAATTTGAAAAAATATATATATATCTATTGTTTAAAATTATTTTTTTAAAGAAAAAAAAATATTTCTTTTTCTAATATCAAGATTAGTTGTGTGAATTTTTTTACGGAATCACATTATATACAAATATTGTTTTTCATCTAAGAATATATTGATATAAAGTATTTTATTACTTCAAAAGTATATTTTATGTTATTTAAAATATATTAAATTACATATTACTATTTTGTGAACTTTCTTTTTTTATGAAACCATATTTATATATACTTATATTTTCGTTTTTAAATAGTTTTGTAAACTTTATAAATGTTTCCTTTTTATTTTATATTGTTATTTGAAAATTTTTTAAAAGGAAATAATAATATTTAAATGTATATTTTTAATTCACTAAGGGTATCATAGTAATTAACCAACGTGAGAGTTAATGTGAACACGACATATAAGAAAGTGACTTCTCAAATAATATTATAGAGATTCTATGGATCCAAGAATTAATAAGATCATCATTGGCAACTTGATAATTTTGAATAAAATATATACGTAAATATATAAACAATATGGCTAAACCAAACTCGTTCTTGGGTGGCAAGTTAGTATAAAATACTAGAACAATATAAAAAAAATTCAAACGGAGAGGGCTCCCTTGGAGCAACTTAATTTGATGCGTTTGTGTTCGGGTGCTTCAGTTGGAGCTCGAGTTCATGAACACTCCCTTGTTTTTATTTCTATCTGTGGCCTCTTTTTGTAATAATATTAAGTGTTTGTAGATTTCTGTATTTTGGTATTTTTCATGTATTATTCCATACTCTGATATAAGTTTAACAACTTATAAAAAATCAAACTAAAACAATAAGTTTGACTTTCATTAAAAGTAATAATTACCAATCGTCTAGTAAAACATAACATATAATCCAAGGCATGGTATGGCCTAAATATCATTTTTGTTTTACAAAGTTATTTTATAATTCGGTCATCGTACAAGTGTCCTGTGTGTTATTCTAAGAACCACCAAAACCTAAATTCGAAACGTGAATTTGAGAATGTTGTGTCTCTATTGAGTTGAGTGATCAATTCATAGCCTTTAGTGTTTAACGTGACGTGGTGGAGTATGCAAATATTTACTCCGTTGTCTCTAAATGTTTTGGGACTATTTACATTTTATATTATATATAAACCCTAATACATCAAAATTTATAGCTAGAAGTACAAGCTAAAATCCAAAAAAAAAAAAAAAAATTTAACCAGCATTCAACAATAAGAAAATCACTTGTTGGCAAAGAAAAACACTTAAAATAAAATAACTACACCCTTAGGAAATATATAAAATCTAAAATGAACCAAACTATATAACAATTTCAATTTGGCCAAACTAAGGCGAGACAATAAATATAAACATCTTTTTGGAAATATTTTGAGATAGAATAGAAATGGGTGGGTAGAAAAGTGAGATAATGCAAAGTCGGCACGCCCTAGGGAGCATGCTTGAACAATAGACATCATTTGGGACATGTCAATGTTCTAAGGTATGTTTTGTCTATTTTAAAATTATTCTTCATTCTTTTCCAAAAATAAGAACTTTAATTTGATTTATGATGCGTATCGGTATCGCTGTGTTAAAATATAAAATGTGTTCATAATCATTGTGTTGTATTGTTCCGTTGTTGATTAATTATATTGTTTGTGTTTCATGATTGGATTATTAATTCCTAAAGAGACAAGATCTTGGTTTTCTCAAGTTAATTTGTATTATCTTTTCTACACACTTTACCTTCTGCATTCCCATGTCGGTCCAGTGTGGTTTGATCTAAACCATCTCTACCCCTAATAGTTTTCTCTTATCGGCTAATACTACATGTTTCTAAACATCTTTATTGATGAGTTTTTTCAGCTAAGTTTTAATTATTAATATATATTATTATTTTTTAAAATAAATTAATTCTATAATTATTTTTTCTGTAAATAATTATACTATCAACAAAAAACATATGGAAATGCATTTTTCAAAAAAAAAAAGAAAAAAAAAAAATATATATATATATATATATATATATATATATATATTTTAGGAATTTTTTTCCATTTTTTACTCTTTTCTTTTCATTTATATTAGTTTGTTTTGGTGAGATGCCCTTACAAAAATAAGCTATATAGATACCTTATTATTTATGCTTTTTCCTTTTCTTTTTCTAACAGTGTGATTTTTGGCTTCTTTTATATGATTTTATTCAATTATATTATTGTCCCGACAAAGCTAGAGGTCCATATCTTTAATACCAACCAAACCGTGTGATAACAAAGGATGGTATTTTCTATTTTGTTAAGCAAAAGCATACTTATTGCTTCCCATTATTATTATTTTTTGGCATCCAACAATCATGAAAAATCCTTTTCATTAGAAACGTTACATAAAGGTTCTACATGAATGAACTATTTTAACCAAACAAGAAAAACAAACAAAAATAAAAAAACATTAATGGGTATACATCCAAAAAGATAATCAGTTTGAGTAGAAAAAATATTCAGATTCCTGTTGGGATTTGCATTATCCTCCCTGAAAAGAGAAATGTAATGAACAGATGAACAAAAACCATTAAGTTATTAACCAAATACAAGTTCTTAAGCTATGGAAGAACAAATTTAAAACCTGAAAACCCATTTTCATTTAAATGTTTCCTTCAAGCTTCTTTAGGCGTAATCCTGACGAAATGGATTAAATGAAATCAAGTTTTGTAATTATAATGATTAAAAAATGGTTAAAAAGAAACAGAGATATGTTTATCAAACCTGAAGCAATAGATTCCAAGTGCAGTAGTGATCTCATGAATGACTGAAGTTGCAAAATGCAAATATAGTGCCGTTGTGAATATACAATAACCAAGAAGAACCCAAAACTCATCCACAAGCGGAACCCTACAGAGAGATTAACACAATCTGATGTATTAAAGACTATAAATATCATGAAAACGAAGAAAGAAACCAAAAAAAGAAAGACAAATAAACATACCCATCGTTGAGTCTAGCTGTTAGAGCATTGGCTAGTGCAAAGGGAAGGTACAGCAGTGACTGTACAAGATACATGTTGATGAGGACTATGAAGAACAATAAGGAGAAAAAATGGATAGAAAGAGAAGAAGTTTTATCGGATATTTACCATACACATGTTTGTTTTTAATCCTTTTGGTTCATCACATAAATGAGCTAGAATCATTCTTCCCTGGAATCATTAACCATTGACTCATGCTCAGATTTAGATTCATTATGTAAAAATGAATACAAACTCAAAACCAAATAGCCTTACCACAAGGAATCCAAATGCAAGACCGGTTCCCAATACAACCAAGTGAGGGTAGTTTCTTATGAGATCAACTGGAGACAAGTAATCCCTAAAGGACAGGAAGACAATACATCTCAGTGAGTGAGTGAGAGTAAGTTAAGAAGAGATAAGACAAAAGAAAAGGATACCAAGTTAACACTCCTGCAAGTAGCACAACGAAGGGATATAGCTGAATACACACACAAGTATTGACGTCACACACACAACTTAATATAAGTATCCACTGAATCAATTTAGTATAGGAGATTATACCATAGCTAGTGCTAGAAGCATGCTTCCTTTTCTTGACTGCACAACTTTGTAAACATTATACACACTGCAGAACAAAGCAGCGCTGGTGTGAGCAAACTACTATCATCTCTAAGAAACCATAAGACTGGTGAATTTTGGAAGACTCACTTGAATGCAACGGTGGGTATAACAGCAAAAACAATCATTGTGAATAACACTACTCTGGACATTTGTATCTCTGAAGAAAAACAGAGAAAAGTTTCAATAAAATTGCAAAGAGAATAGTTAAGGAGAGGTTTGTGATTTTCACCGTTCAGAATTGGCACCCAACTCAATAAAGGAATCGACTTCCCAAACTGCTGAGCCCACCATTCAGCACCTTTAAGATGAAAGTAAATATCAAAGATTAAACCAGAAATGTAAGTGAATGAAACTTTCTTAAGACTGTTTGAAGCTTACCAACAATGGCTGTGAAGAAGTGACCACAGTATATAAGTGCAAGACCTTCTGTAGGACCATTGACTACCGGAAGAATAAGTGTATTGGTGAAATAGCTAAATTACAAATAAGTCATAGAGCAAAAGTATTAGAGATTTCAAGGAGATGAAACAGAGTTAAAAGATTGAAACAGAAAACACTTACTGTTCCCATGTTGCTCCAAAGAAAGGAACAGCTGCAATAACCCAAAACCAGAAAGTATCTCTTCCACACATAGCAGTGCTTCCATATGCCATTGTTTCAAACTGTATTTTTAGTATGAACTTATAAGCTCGGCTACATAATAACATTGAAAAAGGGTTATTGCAATGCCTACCGCACAAGCAAGTGCATCGCAACCTACAAATATGAAACTAGTGTCAGCAACATGACCAAAAAATAGATGATAGAGAGAAGATAAAGAAACATAAGACTACCATGATCAAAAAGCTCTCCTAGTGGGCTAGAGGAGTTTGTCCTCCGTGCTTGCTTCCCATCAAGCCCATCAAATGTCTAAAACATTAACCATAAATGTCAGCACAAAAAAACTTAACAAGCAGGTTCCTAAAGAGAAACGTAAGCACACCTGATACAAAAACAGAAGCAGTCCATGTGCGAAGTGAACCCAACGAGGAGGAGGAGAATCCAACAGAGGTGAGTATACCTAACACAGTTTGAAGGAAAACATCTCATAAGTGTTATTCAAACTGAGCAATAGAAACCTTTTAAGAGAATAACTTACATAGCCTAAGAGAGCAGAAGTGACGAGAAACATGAACCCCATAAGTGTTATCTACAGAACAAACCAAACCATTAGTATCACCTCAGACAGTAACAACATTAGATAAGGATTTACATTGTACCATGTTAGGTCTGGATATGAACCCCAAATGTAGTAAGGGAACACATGAAAAAAAAAAGAAGCAAAAACATTAGTCTGATCTTTCACTCAACCACAAAGAAAAACTTCATCAACCTAAACAAGGCCGGTCGAATAAAACATTTGGTTCCAAAATTTTTGAAAAAAATTACATAGACATAGTTCAAAAAAGTTCTTTTAGGCTCCCAAATTTTGTAATAAAAAAAATTAGTTGGAATCTTTGATAAATCGACAGCCTAAATTCAGGGCAAATCAAAGTAAAAGAAAAACTTACGGCATCCAAAGAGGGAAGATGTTGACAAGACGAGTCCAAAAAGGGTTGAAAATGTATTTGTAAAGATAAGAGTGATCAACACCACTGTATTTGTATCTATGAAGAGCTGCTACACCATGTCCTCCTATGTATCCCATCACTAAATCAACCTGTCAAAGACACACAAACAAAAAAAATGTCAGTAAAGTATGGATCTTTCTGTGTAAAGAAGAACACTTTTCGGGTCCTCTGTGATGTCTGAAGCAGCTAGACAAGAAATGAGCATGACCCATCTGAAATAGTTATGATTTTGAACAACATACACGAACTCTTGTGTTGCAGGATCTTCAGAGAAGATTGTTGATTCCTGTGAGTGGGGAGCAGATTCGATCTAGAGAGAGAAAGAGAGAGAGAGCTTATGAGTCTTCTGCTCTTCTCTCTAGTGCGTCGTGAAGGAGGCGAAGCGGGAGGAGAGTGGAAAGAAGGGCGTTTGTGTATTTGCAACGATCTGTATTTTAATACGAAATATTTTCTTTAGTAATAAGTCCCCTGTTTTTTAAAGAATATAAATAAATTCGTTTTCATTTTTCTATGCTTTTTAAATGATAAATCTGATAAATTTAATTAAATTACTAAATTAAGAATCTGATTCAAGTATGGAATAAGGATTGCTCATTAGTTCCTTCCTTTGTCTGTTCCTATAAATTACTGAATTAAATATTCAAACGTAGATAAGAATACATGAGTTGATTCTTTTCACTTGAATCGATTGAGATCACAAAAAAACATGAACGAAAATGCGTGCAAGGTTAAGTAAAATGCAGACATTGATGTAATTATAAGATCTTGAGTATACTTAAACAGAACTTAAATTGCATATCCAATCCTTTTTGTTTTACATTATACAGTAAACATTTTAGGATAAAATATCCACATTGAGAACTAACGAGACCTTAACCAATATATAAACAGTAAAGATAGTTCACTTATCACCAATTGATTTCATCTATCTTTGTTTAATATTCTAAGATTAGCGGTTAAATAGCCATTATCTCGAATTGATGTATTAGAAACTAAGTCTCTCACATTAGTAATTGGAAATTTTAAGTAATATATAAATATAATTCAATCTACTTATCACTACTGAATTTTTGATCCCGGATATTTTATACCTAACTAGATTATTGATCCGTGCTTTTTAAGTGCATGTACTATTTTGTTGTTTTATCTACAGATGGATCGATAAATCATTTGCTTTGATGATATAAAATATCACAGAATCAAGATCAAATTATTATGCGGGTATGAAGAAATTTTTGTTTTATAATGTCTCAGACAATTTTGTCATGTTTCTAAATAAGTTAACAACTAGATTTCGACCCGCACAACCGTGCGGGTATTTTAATACGAATATATTTGAAATTATATAATAAAATTTATCAATAAATAAGTATAATTTGATTATTTATGCTATCCAATTTATAATCATTTTTATGTGACTTATAATATTATTAATATAAAATTTATAAATTTGTATTTTTGTAATAATTTAATTATTATGTAAGTTTACTAATTTATATATTTTGTTTTATTTCTAAATTTGAAATCTATGTAAAACTTAATTAAGTTGAACCTACATAATACATAAACAAAATTTTGGGATATTGTTAAAAGTATTTTAAATAATTTCAATTTTTGTTTATAAATTAAAAATGAATTAAAATTTTAATTATATTTTCTGATAATTAAAATTTTAATCAAATAATTTTTGAAACTATATCTTGAAAAAGATTCTAAAAGATTTTGTTAGAATTTTCTTAGAACTATGTATTTGTATTTTAAACAAAAAATTAAAGATATGAAAAGATATTATAATGTTATGTAAAGTTTTATAAAACTCTAAAGATGGTTCAAACTAAAATATCACACATGAAGTGAGTCATGACTTCTCTTTTAATATAATAGATGGCTGTACCTAAAATGTATACTTAAGAAAGATTGTATATTTAACAATTAAGTGGTCCAATTTCTTTAGTTTTGTGATTAATTAGTAAAATAATTTAGTTACAAAATTTCAATCGCTCAGTCCGACCCGCCCCGTCCGACCCACAACGGGCTAAGTCATTTTTTTCTACTCAAAAATTTGATCCGTCTGACCAGCAAGAAAATATATTTTTGCAAGTTCTTTTATAAAATTTGGAAGAAAATCAACCCACTAATAAAACCCATTAGTATATAATTTTTAGACAAAAAAAAAACCATATTGCCATTAATAAAAATAAAAATTTGTTCATATCATTAAAGGTATAATTGAAAAACATAAAAGTTTCATTAAACATAATGTTTTTGTTTTAAAGGTATTGATATCCCTCTTCAAAATATTGGCTCTTAACGTCTAAAAATCTTGAAACTTTAGAACGTGTATCTTGTTAGAAAAGTTAACATTAATTAGGAATTTTAGATATTTATAATATGAACTGTATACCATATTAATTAATTAGATAAATTTCTAACATAAAATCAATTAGTGATAAATAAATTCATTCATTTATTTTATATATTAGTATTACTTAGGATTTCTTGGGAGACTTACTCCCTAATTAATACTATAAATATACCAAAAGAGACGAGCTGTTCTATAGCTTTGAATAAGTTCAAGAATCATATTCTTCTTTCATATGTTTATTTCTATGTTTGCGTCAGAATTTTCCTTCAAGGAATATGTCATCTGCATTTTATATTTGTAGACAAACCCAAAGTTTCTTTCTTTTATCATTTCCACAAAATTTTACTTTTAAAAGTATTGTACACGTTAACAAATGACACGACCCATCCATGACTTATATTCTATAAAATATGGGAACTTCGTATGTATACACAAAATTTATTGTAATGTCAGATACTCTTTTGTTCATCATAGGGTTGGATATTTGTTTGAGTATAAAGATAGGGTTGGATATATGTTTGAGTATAAAGAATGGGAACTTCGTATGTATACACAAAACTATTGTAATGTCAGATACTCTTTTGTTCATCATCGGGTTGGATATTTGTTTTGTACATTTATAAATATCGATGAAACCAAGAACTTTCGCGATCGCTAAATTGGATTTTTGTCGAATAATATTCTAGTAGCAGTATAGTAATCTTGAATCGAGTAGAATAAAATACTTCGTTGTTGGTGACTTGGTGTAATAGTTTAGCTGTATTTTTATTTTATTTTATCGTTCAGTAAAGATGTAGCTGTATATTTGTTTAAGCAAGTTGAACAAAATATCACGTGTTCCCGTTCGATGTAGTTCTTTTCCAAGATCAAGAGATCTATACTAGTGCAACCATTAAGTACTTCTAGTCAATGAGTTTGGTAAACATCGTTGCCAAACCTCCGTAATGGCATATAAAAACTTTTCAGAATACAAGATTTAAGAGAACGGACAAAACACTCGGTCAATATATTTACATAAATAAAAAGTTCATATTACGTACTTACATAAAGGTACAAGATTTAAGAGAACGGACAAAACACTCGGTCAATATATTTACATAAATAAAAAGTTCATATTACGTACTTACATAAATTATCGTTGTGTTAAGTAACAACTACAAAGCAGGAAAGACATACCGGTGTGTAGCTTGGATCCCAGCGTGTTGATGTCATATATCGAGGTACCGTTTTATGCTTTGACGTTATTACCTAATAATTTTCGGGAAAATTATCATTTAAATCCCCAACTTTCAAATTTGGTTGAAAAAAAACATGAACTTCCTTGTGGACTATTTAAGGCATCAACTCATCTTGACTAGCCATTTTAAACAATGACATTTTTTGACTAAGCCATTTTCAAGACGACATTAACATGGTTAACAGATTGAATTAACAGAGTTACATCTCCGTCTCTATTAAATGCAAACGACGTCGTTTTTAAATTTTAAAAAATAGTTCTTCAATGGAATCAAACCCGTGACCAAAGCCTCGTTTGTTAAAGAGCTAAACCGCTAGACCACTTACACTTATGTTAACTTTTACAAATACTAATAATTATTATCATTAAAACTCCATATCATCTTCTGATAAACCAGATGGGTTATTAAGACTCACTAATCGAGGCTCAAATGTTACTAGTACAACTTTCTACCACAAATCAGTAAACATTGCAGGAGATCAACAGAAATTCTACAAACGTCACCACGTTTCGTTCTTTTAGTATTTGTTTCGTCTTTGTTACAATCCTAACAAGAGAAAGGATTTTGAACTGGAGAGTGCCAATCCAATTCAAGCTCTTTTGAATTATGATGGAGCAACACAAATGCTAAATGTCATAGTATATCCGGCGAAACTGAGGTTTAAACCCACTAAACCATTGATCTCATGATTGAATTAGATTCAGAAACGAATTAGGGACTTAGGTTACAAGAAGATGATGGAAGTTTAATGATAATAACTATTAGTATTTATACAAGTTAACATCAGTGTAAGTAGTCTAGTGGTTTAACTCTATAACATACAAAGCTTTGTTCACGGGTTCGATTCCATTGGGGAACAATTTTTTAAAATTTAAAAACGGCGTCGTTTTTATTTAACAGAAATTAGAGACGGAGATTTAACTCCGTTAATTCAATCTGTTAACCATGTTAACGTCGTCTTGAAAATGGCTTAGTCAAAAATGTAAGTGTTTAAAATGGTTAGTCAAGATAAGTTGAGGCTTTCAATGGTAAGTTGAGGCTTTAAATGGTTCACGAAGAAGTTCATGTTTTTTTTCAACCAAATTTGAAAGTTGGGAATTTAAATGACAATTTTCCCAATAATTTTCAATAGTTTCGATCCATTTAATCGAAAGAGCAACGGACCTCTGAAAAAGTATAGAAAACTATGGTCTTCTCTGACTATCTGACTAATTTTATTCATACGAAACTAAATCATACAAGAACATTGCTAAAACAAATTTGAGTATGTGTTTGAAGATAATTAGAACACACAAGTGAGTGTTCATACAAATGGTTAATGAAGGTTTCATTTGCAAGGACATGTTTATAGGAGTTTTTAAGTTAGAGTTTTTAACTCATGATTTGATATTTTTTTTGTTAAAAACCGGTTCTTATATATTTAAAAGCCAATTTTAGTTTTTTCTTAGTTAAAAACTAAGAAACGTATCTTAATCGAAACTAAAATCCCCATTTAAAAACTCCCAATAAACATAACCTTAAAATTACCTAGAAATTTGTGAAAAAAAATCACAAAAAGTTATCATATTTTAGAAAAATGCTATATAATACTAATACTAGTACATAACTTAGTAGTTGACACCGCAGTTCCTTGGGAGCAGCATCTTGTATTCCCATCCGGATCACACGACTCAATGTACATTGACCTCTATGTTAGGTTCAAGATTTGAGAACTGCTCGGTATAATTATTCAATAAGTATGTCTGATGAATTGTTCTAAGCAAAACATCACCATTTTCTATTCTGGCTGCTTGAAACATAAAAGCAGAGGAAATTTTCTTTAAAATTTATTTAAGAAACCCTAGCATCTGATACGTTTATGTCAACAACAAACAGACACTTCAGAGATTTTAGTAACATACACTTCCTATCATTTTTTTTGTTGTCAACGAAAGGATTATATTAATTTAAGAATGATTTAAAAGAGTAAAATCAGAGGAAAACTCAACGGCAACAAGCTGAATAACAAACACTACAACAACAAAAGAGATAGATGTGTTTAAGGAGTGAAAGAACCCGAAGAGATACTTCACTTGAGACCCATAAACTATTGTTTCAAAGAACAACTGATGATAGTCGAAACGACGTTGATGCACCGAGATGTTAAAATGTTGGCCGGCAAGAACTTTTGGTGAGAAGCTCCAGATCCGTATGCAACATACTCATCGAGAATATGAAGTCCTAACTGACTTGATTTGGCATTGAAACAAGCACAATCAACTCTAAAACCAATAAAACTCACTAAAGAGATTAGATGAATCTCAAAACAAAGAAAAACACAATTATTGGTGAGGAAGACGACGGTGAGGAAGATGACGAGACTAGGCGAATCTTAAAAATACCATTACAAACTTCAGAACAGCCAACAGAGAGGAGATTAACTAGATACCATGATACAGCCAAGACTTTGGTCAAAACAAAGCATCTAGCACCAACATTAATGTGCTAGAGTACGCGAACTTTTGTGAAATCAAGTCTGAATGGCTGATCCTCGGAACCTGTCAAAGTAGAACAAGTTTTCTTTTCACAATGGGCTTGTAACTTTGGAAATATGCTCTAGTCTGTAGCTCTAAGGCCTAGCCCACACAACCATATACTTCTAAATGTTTTTAAAATATATAATTCTGTATACGTGTCAATGTTATACACTTAGAATATGTACAATGGAGGTGTTGAATAAGATATTTAACAGTTGAATCACTATAATGAGGATGTTGAAAAATGAAATTTGATGATGTGGATTAAATTGTATTGAAAAATTCAACTAGTTGAATAAGAAGGAAATGGAAACCACTGACGACGACACATGTCACTTTTCTAGGATTTTTTGGTATTTTCATATCTTCTTTGTTTTTAAAAATCAATTATTTTATTATAAATTAAATAATTTATTTTTGTTTTGATATGAAAATCTATCATTTTAAATTCGCTAGCAATAGAGACTAAGTTTATTTAATTTGGATATTTAAAAAAATAATTATTAATTTGTAAAATATGGTGTTGAATTTTATCAAACAAAACTATTGTAATAGATAAAAGTTAAATATATGTTGAATGATGAGATAGAAGAAAGAGAAAATAATGTGGAATGTAAAAAAATGAATTAGAAGGTGTTGAATTGAAACCATTGTACATATTCTTAGACAATACACAATATATGTCGTTGACAAAAAAAGGCAATACAATATACGTAAATGGGACCAAAATATTTTTAGCTTTTGTACCTTTTAAAACCCTTTGTAACTGATATTCCGCTATGAAAGCAAGTAATTGTTTATCTGTTCTTCCTCAGAATAATAAAGGAAAAATTTAGTTAAGAGATCACCAAACCTAAAGGACAAAGCAGCAACTCCCAAAACGTTTCCTTTGATGTTCATTATACACATTTTTGTATATATTGATTTTGGTAAAAATACGAACCTTACTATGGGTAGCTAGTCGGTTTTTTCTACCAAAATTCATAGTGCAAGCATATATTCCATGCAATCGGTAGGTATATAATACATCAAATAAATATTTAAACTCGAAAACAATAACTATGAATATTAAATAGAATATAGAAGTGTCACCAAAAAATAGAATATAGAACAAATTAGTTAAAACATTCTCGAGGAATAAGAATCTCATCCTCGGGAACCAGATGCTCTTGCGCACCACAAATCTTCCCTCGCCTTATTTTTCTTTCGATCTTTATGTCTATACGCTAACACTCAAGTCTGAGTTCAGGAAAATAAGCTTTGATTAAGACAAAGATGGTTCTTAGAAAAAAAGAAGTAAAAAAGAGTTCTTCAACCTTCTTCTGCATCTTTCTCCTCTTTCTTTCTCCTGCAGAGCTTACATTCGTTTTTAACTATGAAGGCAATATTCATAACAAAATCTTCTTGTTTCTAAATCGTTGTTCCTTTTCTGCGCATAAAATGTTTTTATTGTTGTTGTTGTTGCTGTTGTTTCTTCTCTAGTTCTTGCTCTAGTAGAAATCAAGAGCTCACTGACTGATCCTCATGGAGTTCTAATGAATTGGAACATGGAAGCAGCTGATCCTTGTAGCTGGAAATTGATCACTTGCTCTTCTGATAATTTTGTCGTAAGCATGTAAGCACATAAATACAAAAAAATTATAATATATATAAGCATGTGTTACTTAGTCTTTTTTTAATATTTGTATGTAGAGAAGCTGCAAACCAAGGTTTTTCAGGAACTCTTGCATCATCAAGTATTGGCAATTTAACATATCTTGAGACTCTGTCAGTGTTCATCTCTTAATAATTTAGTTCTGTCATTTAATTTAGTTTTGTTATATAATTTAGTTTTCTAATATTTTCTTTTTGGGATATACATATAAAAGGAAACTGAAGAACAATTACATCACAGGAAATATCCCTCCTGAGATTGGAAAACTGATGAAACTCAAAACACTTGATCTCTCTAACAATAACTTCACCGGCCAAATCCCATCCACTCTTTCTCATTCCAAAAGTCTTCAGTACTTGTAAGATTACCCATTACTTTTTCCAAATCTTTTTTAGCATAGTTTATATTAATAGTTGTTATAATTATATATGGAGGGTTATGTGTTGAAAATTGTGGTTCAGGAAGCTGAACAATAACAGTCTGACAGGAACAATTCCTACCTCATTGGCAAACATGACCCAACTAATTCTTTTGTACGTTCTCGTTCTTCTTCTACTATGTATATTTGCATATATATTTCATAATTGATTTTGTAGGGATCTGTCTTACAATAACTTGAGTGGACCAGTTCCAAGATTACTTGCCAACATATTCAAGTAAGTCTATTTATATAAAAAAGAATATTTGGCTGTTCTGTTTTACTCTGTTCAGAGAAAAAACAATGTCCTTTTGCTCTGCAACTTATGTATGTTACTATAATTAAGAATAATAAGCATGTAATATATATTTTTAAATGACATTTTATCTACTTGTGATGCAGTGTAAAGGGCAATACTCAGATTTGTTCAACTGGAACTGAGGAAGACTGCAACGGGCCTCATCCTAAACCAACGTCACTTACCTTTAGCAGTTCTCAAAGTAAGTAAAATCTAAAATTTCAACACTGACAAGAAAAATTGAACTCTAGAGACTGTAAGCTAACATGGGTTTGTTTTTAATTGTTTTGTTGTTTGATGAAGCATCTGATGGAGGAACAAAAAATCAGAAATTCGCAGTACAATTTGGTTTAAGGCTTGCATGTATCTGCTTGTTCATCACTGGCTTCGGGTTTTATTAAAATAAAATTGTATCAAAAGATTACAATAATAAGGATGTAAAAACTGTAGTAAATCTTTAATAAACAGAATTGTCTGTTGTAAAATTATCTATGTAATATTTCTGTGTAATAACATAATTAACTCGCATTAAAGAAAATGTAAAAGCTTAGGTTTTATTTTGGAATCTTCCTTGTATAATAAGTACTAAAGCTATGTGGAATGTTAATAAACAAGATATGTACAAACCAAGCTTAGGTTTTCAGATACAGACACGTCTTAACCAAGGGATGACAATGATTAAAGACGGTCGTCTCCTCCATCAATATGTTGTGGACGTTTATACGACAATTGAAGAAGATCGGTTAAGGTGGGGCGAGGAATAATAAAGATGTCCTCAGAGCCGAGCTTTACAGTAACGTACTCGATGCTGTTAGCAAGGGTAACACTGATGCTAAAATTATTGGTCAGAAGTAGATACTGCCGCCAAGTTTCACCGGTGGGCCCAGATGCATAGTTGAGAAATATCATGATGCGATGACTATTTGCAGAGAATATGGAAATCCAGATTTGTTTATCATAATAAAGAGCATCTCGCAAAATATGGTGGGGACTCTCTCAATGATAGACCGTACAATGAATGTTGGGTCTTTAAAATGAAGCTAGATCTCAAAAGAGGGCTCCCTCATGCCATATACTGCAGTTCTCCACAGAATAGAGTTTCAGAAAAGAGGCCTCCCTCATGCACATATATTATTGTGGTTTGGAAACTCTTCCAGAACTCCAAGTGCAGAGGAAGTAGATGAGATTATTTCAGCCAAACTCCCAAACAAAGAAGAAAACCCAGAAGCCTACAACTTAGTAACAAAACACATGATCCATGGGCCATGTGGTATCATTAATCGGAAGTCACCATGTATGGAGAATAATGTGTGCACGAAAAAGTATCCTCGGTTGATAATGATTTTACTTTGATTGACAAATCAGGGTATGTGTTATATAGTCGGCGCCGAAACGAAAATACGATTGTGGTAAAGGATGAGGCAATCCTAAACAACAAATTTGTACCTCATAAAATTAAGCTCCTGAAAAAGTATGAAGCTCATATTAATGTTGAATGGTGTAATCGTACAAGTGCGGTGAAGAACTTATTCAAGTACATAACCAAGGGTGTTGACAGAGCATCCGCAGTTATTGAAAAGGAAATACAGTGTCTACCTCTGATACAGTTGCTTCTGGCGAACCAAAGGAAAGAGTTATCAAGCAACATAAAGAGATCCAACACTACGTTGATGCTCGGTATTTATCAGCTTGTGAGTCTATGTGGCGGACGTTCGTATTCCACATACACAAAAGAAAGCCATTAGCTGAGAAGTTTATCATTCACTTAGAAGGTGAACATAATATAACAGTTAAAGAAACTGATAACCTCGGCCGTATAATCCGCAAGCAAGGTTTTGAGAAGACGATGTTCACTGAATGGATGATCTTATGTAGAAGGTCAGAGTTTTCCTGGACATTAACGTATGTGCAAATACCAGAATATTTCGTATAGAACAACAGTACGAAAGTCTCAACTGAACCTAAGAAAGGAAAAACCATTGGGAGAATCGTAGATGTCCATCCATCAGCAGACGATAGCTACTATCTAAGGATCCTCATAAATAAGATTAAGGGTCCTAGAAGTTATGACGAGCTCAAAAAGTTTAACGATGTGAAATACCCTTAATCTTATCTATGAGGACCCTTAGATAGTAGTGATCACGTGCTGATGGATGGACAGCTATGATTCTCTGAATGGTTTTGCCTTTCTTACGTTTAGTCCAGACTTTCGTACTGTTGTTTCATACGAAATATTCTGGTATTTGCACATACATTAATGTCCGGGAAAACTCTAACCTTCTACATAAGATCATCCATTCAGTGAACATCATCTTTTCAATACCTGGCTTGCGGATTACACGGCCGAGGTTATTTAACTGTTATTTTATGTTCACCTTTTAAGTGAATTATAAGCTTCCCAACTGATGTCTTTCTTTTGTCTATGTGGAATGCGAACATCCGCCACATAGACTCACAAGCTGATAAATATCGAGCATCGACGTAGTCGTGGATCACATTCCGTTGCTTGATAACTCTTTCCTTTGGTTTGCCAGAGGCTACTGTATTAGAGGTAGTCGTTGTATTTCCTTTTTCAATAAACTTCAGATGCTCTGTCAACACCCTTTCTTCTGTACTTGAATAAGTACTTCACCGCACTTGTACGATTACATCATTTTAATATGAGCTTCATACTTTTTCAGGAGCTTAATGTTATGAGGTACAACAAAGTTGTTGTTTAGGATTGCCTCATCCTTTACCACAGTCGTATTTTCATTCTGGCACGACGATATAATACATATCCTAATTTGTCAATCAAAGTACAATCATATTATACGGTCGATGATACTTTTTCGTGCACACATTATTCTCTATTAGAAAACTAATGATTGCTTGCCACGGAAACAAAGAGCCAAAGCATTATCTTTGTTTTTTTAAAACCCGGTTAAACCAAAATGGACAACAAGACAAATCAAACTTTTGACAAATAACACCAAGCATTGGACTCTGATTAGTTCAGGAGACAGCAATCTATTGACTAATAGCAAATCAGATACCAAACCGAAAGAATTTTGATATCAATGATGAGCCAACATAATCAATAACTAACAAAATCAATAAGATCTAAAAGCGATTAAAGCTAACCACCAAGAAACAATCACGGATTTTCAGAAAAAAAATTATTTTTAAAAAGTAATTCAATAGTTCCTGCAAAAATAAACGGTAAGCATAGAGATAGAAAATTTTACGCTGAGACTGAAAATTATCGGAGCCAATCCGATTGCAACACCTTTTCATAAATGTTGATCAACCTGTTCTTATAAAAAAAAACTCTTACAATAATCAATCCGGTTAGTGCAAAGTAATAAACAGATAATTTTGGTTTAAGATTAATAGAATCATTTAATATAAACTACGGAGAACTGAATATTATAAAAAATAAAATTAATAAAATTATTGTTAAGATCAAGAAAAAGATTATACAATTGCATAGTCGATATATTATCTCTTTCCTTAACTTAAAATATGTATTGTAGTGCGACAATTTGATAACGTAATGAATCTCAAGATACAACTGCAAAAATCTTCTGAATTTAGTCACTCTATCAAAAACTTGGCAAAATCTGTTTTGTGTATACTCTCAGATTCAAAATAAAAATCAAAAAGAAAAATGAAAAATAATGTAAGGAATTGTTGAACAATTATTTGTTCTCACTGTGTCATATGAATGAGTTTCACGTATTGATATATAACTTCAAAAGTCAAAATGTACGTTATGTAATCATGGAGTAAACTATCGTAATAATGAGAATTGATTCTCCATTACTCACGTTAGTGGACAAATATTAAATGATTTTGACCAAACAAATCAAAGCCAAAAATACTTAATAAGGGTTTGCATTTTTATGTTCAAATAAAACATAAAAGATCATCATAAATAATATTAGAAATATTAAGTTAACTAGAGATTTTACCCGGGTTACGCCAGGGTTCATACAATAGAATTGTATTTTATATCTATAATACAATGTATTACTTCTGTGTTATAACAATATAAATAGTAAATTGAATTAGGAATGACTAAAACTCACAATTTATTGTTTTTATTATCTAAAATATGTATGGGGTGGTGTACGAATGTGAAATGAATAAATAATTTATTAAACCTTAAATTATCCAAAATATTTTTTCCTTACATATTAGGTTCTTATAAGAATATATTGTTGATCTAAACACAACATATTTATTTGTCAAATGTATTATTTTTTATCATGTTTATGTTTTGATTTATATGTTATTTAATAATTTATAATATATTTCCTTATGACTATAATCTATTTTTACAATTATAATAAATAAATCTAATCTAAATACTCATTGCTTCAAAATTAATCAACTTTTCATGTTGTATGTGTTAAATACAATGAAAAGTTCTGTGAAAATATTATTATGTTCTATATTATTTTTTAGTTATAAACAGAAAAATAGCTTACAATCTAGCTATAGTTAAAAATATTATTCTGGATTAAAACTCAGTGAAGAAGTTAATCAAAATATACTCAATAGATATTCAAAATTATTACTTTTATTATTAAATATTAGTTGGTTTTACAGTTGCAATTTTTTAAAATCCAAACAGGTTATTAAACTGTTATTAAAGATAAAGTTTTTGTATACAACTTAGGGGATTTTGAATAGATTTCAGTCCACCATTATGATCCAAAAACATAATTTCATATTTTTGTTTCCTTTCCAGTAAATACATTCTACAATCTTATACCAATATCACGAACTGAAAATATTTTTTTTTTCTAATTGGATATAGCCTTATATTTGTATTTCCATTTTTTTAGTGATTTAGATGATTAGTTTTTCTTTTGTTTACTTTGAGTTAACTTTAATATTTGTTTTGTTAAACTTCATACACTATTTTGATTTCTAAACTTTATCTATTTTCTTTGAACCAAAATTTAAAAACGTTTGTTGGTTTGTTATTGCTTAATGTAGTATTAGTTTGTTTCCTTTAATGGTTTCTTCAAATTTCTTATTCTTCTTTGTTTCTTCGTCGGCTAAAGTCTTTTTAATCAGTCCGAGATTAGAAAATAAACAATGCGATTTAGACATCTAACGCAGAACATCAAATTTAGATTCTGAGATGACCCTACTAATTAATACCTAGCAATCTATCTAACACTAAATGTAAAGAGATAAAGTTTTTGTATACAAATTAGGGGATTTTGAATATATTTTCAGTCCACCATTATGATCCAAAAACATCATTTCATTTTTTTTCCTTTCCAGTAATTACATTCTACAATCTTGTACCAATATCACGAAATGAAATTTTTTTTTTCCTAATTGGATATAGCCTTATATTTGTATTTTCATTTTTTTAGTGATTTAGATGATTAATTTTTCTTTTGTTTATTTCGAGTTAACTTTAATATTTTTTTTGTTAAACTTCATACACTATTTTGATTTTTAAACGTTATCTATTTTCTGTGAACCAAAATTAAAAAACGTTTGTTAGCCTGCTATTGCTTAATGTA